TTAAAAAAAATAGACTGACCTGATGGGCCAAGCCCATTTTGACAGGTCTAGAGAGCAGGTAGCACTTCACCTTGAAATAAAGAAAATTTTACCAACAATGTCTTTTTAGAATAGATGCATCATTCTTGAATAGAATAAATTAAGTTATAAAATATTAGAAAAGTCAGTTCCTACGATCTTGCTGATAATGGTGGAGAGAGAAAACCTTTTAAATTAATTAATTAAACATAAAAGGAACCTTGAACTGCAAATTTGCAACTACTAAAACTATACAAGTTTATGACTTTTTAGAAGCTTGTTTTCATTAGAATACCTTATCTTTTCCAGGGAAATGGGCTAATCATAAGAACACAAATATAATTAAAGTAATACTAATCTTTTTCTTCATTATTCATTCACGCAGCTTATCACCAAAGCAAATTGCTGCCAAGCTATCTTAGACCAGCAATAACGGGAAGCACGTTCGTGATTCTTGGATCAATGCAAGATTTGAGTGGATTGCTACTACTTTTTTTATTTGGATTCACTGCAAATGGATCAATCAATAAGTTGGCAATACTATTACTAGTATAAAGCATTTATATTATTTTACATTGTTTCTTAGCTTTTAAGGATTTTGCTTTTAATTATTGCTTCTAATTATTTGCATTGACTAATGATTATGGTGAAACTAATCATCAAATATCCGATATATAATTCTAAACATTCTAAGTATACACCCATAAAAAGGTAATTATAAGTAATGAAATAAAAATAAAATCATAACTATAGTTAAAATAATATTCCTTTTAGGATGCTCCAAAATTATGTCTTTATTTTTTCATTTCCAAATACATAATTATTTATTTTTAATAATTTTTCTGTTACTTTTTTACATTACAAACCATGCTTTTAACATTAATTTTACCATAAAATAAAAAATTTAATGTAAATTAAATTAAAATCAAATGCTTTTTATTATTTTTCATAAAAGTCACATTAGAACAAATAATCAGAGTGAAAAAGGGAATTAATTTAAAATTGTTAAATCACTTCATCATTTATCAATTTATTCAATTGTTACAGTAATTAATGACAACATTCGATCCAATACATACCTCATCATAGCATTCGCATTACAATCTTAACTATCATTCTTGTTGTAATTAATATTAATAAAATGCATTCTGACTAGGTGTTTAGCCAAACTTTTTGACCATTATGCTTCTACATACAACTGCACTTCCATAACACATCGCAATCACAATGTTAATATCCATTTAAGCTTAACTCACTTGTAATTTTTGTTCCAAATCAACAATGGTCTTTAATTATGTATAGTCCCTATATATTTGCATAAACTTGTAGTTTCTCTCTATAATAAATGCCGAATTTTTATTTTTTTTGATTCAATAACAATGATTATTATCTAATATAAAAGTTAAGAATCTATCTAAAAAAATTATAGATCAAGATACACATATTTTTAAAGCAATATCTGAAAATGTCAAACCAAGAAAGGTGGGTTATGTTAAAAGGGATTTTTGGTTATTTTCCAATAGAGAAGGGTAAAGATGTCCAATTAAGTTTGATAACTTTGTAGAGTAAATTGCAATATGAGATTATATTAGTTTTTAAATGCAATCATATTACATCTATTGACCATGATATGATTGTATTACAATCTTACATTATGTTGCCTTATTTCAAAAGAAAAGTTGCAATGTATTTTAGTTGGACACATTGCAAGGAATGTGAGTGCACAATCCTTATACCAAACATTGTCTAGAGATATTTATAAAAATGAGACTTGGAATTCTAATTCAAAAGATGTGAAAACGGTAGTTGTGGATTATATTATGAACTTATGCACCAATAGAACCTTGGAAAAGGTTGCTATTAGTGATTTTGACTTTAAAGTGGAAATTGGTACTTCACAATGTAATATGATTACAAGTAATGTGATTAAAAGAAAGATAGCATTGCAATGTTTAGTATATAAATAAAATAATGATTAAAATATAACGAATATAATATTGCAGCATTTGGTTTATAAGTACTTTAGTGGGAATGTAATGTCAATTTGTAAGTTTATCCTTATTTATTAAAATGCAAGTTTAATATATTTATATTTTTTATTCTTAATTTTAAATCTCTTAAATATATTTTTAATATCATGTGTTTTATTTTTATTTTTATTATAATTTTATATATTTTAATATACATTTTTTACTATAATTTTTTATATTATGTATTTTATTTTAATTTCTTTTCTTTTAAAAGATAATATCAATTTTATTGACAATCACCATAACTACTGAAAATAATAAAAAAATCATCGAAATCTATATAAAAAAATAAATTATAATATTATAAAATATTTTTAATAAAGTAACAAAGTTGAAAGGTAAAAATATCTTTAATAACATTGTAAAGTATAATGCAATCTGATTGCATTGTAATCTTATATTGCAGTAGTTTGTTGTAAAACAAACACTATAATATAATTTAATTGAGCACATTACAAGAATACGCTCCCTCTTCTCTCATACCAAACGTTATCTAAAAGATTAAAATTGTCATGATGTTATTACTTTAGAAGAACATGTTATGGTTAAGGAATTGAAAGCTGCAATTTGCAATTTGGAATTTCGAGGAATTGAAATCACGATGGTTACAATTTTAATGTTTTCAAAAATATGTGACCTTTTTGTTGAAAGATGAGTTGATAGAGTTTGTTACCGACTTTCATCATAATGGGATGTTAGAAAGAAGCTTACATTCGTGTTTTATTACCCTTACACCAAAAATGTTGCAAATTAATCTCACTTAACTAAAGGAGTATAGGTCGATTAGTTTGGTCAATTCTTTGCATAAAATACTGGCTAAAATCCTATCCTATAGGTTGGAATGGGTGGTGAATTTGGTTGCTGGTGACAATCAAAGTGCATTAATTAGTGGGAGACAAATCATGGATGGTATATTGCTAGCAAATGAAATCACTCATATAGTGTGAAGAGGAGAACCTGTAATGAGGGAGGAGTGATTTTTAAAATTGATTGTGAGAAGTCCTATGACTGCTTTTCATGAGATTAATTTTTTGACGACAGTGATGATGAAAATGGATTTTCAGGAAAAATGGTATAAATGTATTAAGGAGTGCATATCTGCCGTCACTGTGGCAGTTTTGATTAATGGATCGGCTATGGGGAGTTTCCTATCAGTAGAGCACTGATGAAAGGGGTGGTCCTTTATCTCCGTTTCAGCTCTTCATGTCGTATTCCTCAAAGCTAAAGATTTAAATCTGTTTTAGAGGAATTAAAATTTTTACTTCAGGTATGACCATTTCTAAAGTATCTTGCAATCAACTACTTCACTATCAAATTGACTACTACCTCTCTAACTTTCTTTTTGAGGCTAAACATTTAGTTCAATACTGCATGTTTCGCTCCTAAGTTTTAGTTGTTTCAAATCCATATAAGAAAAAAAAAAATGAAGGCCAATTTTTGTATTTATTAAAAAAGAAATCAAAGTGATATAGGATGATATTTTAATGAAATCAAGTCAAATTATTAAAATATTCTGGCAAACAATTATGGCAAACGGTTTGAAAGTAATAAATAACAGATATATATATATATATATTTAATTTTAGTTACAACTGGAATTATCAGAGTGTTGGACCCTCGATATTTGTGATATTTGGCCATAAGGGAGTTTCATCAACGTGAGCGATGAGCGATGGCATGTGCTATAGCAATATTAGTTGGCAGAAAGGAAAGGGACAAATTAACTTGTAAATTTACAACTGACCCACCCCATGTTTTCCACAGGGAACTCATTACTATTAATATTTACTTAAGAATTAATTAATACAGCCACATCTGCTGCTTTCACGCCACGTCCTGATCAGGTGGTTAAAGCCCTCAAGTCCACGGGGGTTTTTATGTGAATGCATTAAATATTTATTATTATTTTTCTTAGTTTATTTTTATTTAATCAATAAAACCCCACCACTGCGATGTACACTGGTCGAATCAAGATTTTAGATTGAGAGATGAAAATGAAAAATTTAATATTTCAGGGATGAAATTATAAAATATTTAAATGCAAAAAATATAAAGTTCTAAAATTTTGGGGGGGTTTGGGCCCCTACTAGCCCCCACTCCCTCTGCCTCTGCCTATATTGCTCTATTTTCTTGTCTTATATATGTTTAATTTACTATTCATCTTACTTTGGACTTACATTATCCAATGAGAGTGTTACAAATATTATAAGCTAGTTATGTAGGTTGTATTTTCCTTTTTTCTTCTGCAGGTGATATTTGGTTTACACAATAAGAGATATTTCTTTCATACCTTATAAAATCTCGCGATTTCAGTTTCAAAATTCAAACTCGAGACTTCCAATATGAAATCTTAAACTCTAACCGTTGGATGTTTTCCTCGGAAATATCTGTTAGTAAATTGTGAGAGTTTGAATTTTAATAATAATAAAAAAATACCAATTTATTGTTCTCTTTTTTTTTTAATTAGTAAAACTCTTGAATTTCCTATTTCTTTCTTTGTATTTCCTTGATTTCAATATTGTATTTAACACTAATGATGAACAACAGTAGTAATAAGAGATATGAACGCAAACACCAGTTATTTGCGTCTGACAGGACTCTTCAAGAAGAGCATGGATCAAAGAAAAATGGTCAACTTGCTCTAGCGTTCAAGAAATCGAATAAAGTAAGAAAATAACTCAAATTCATAATTTAGGGAATATATCATCTTGATTGTATTGAAAAACACGCCATTGGCTTCATGTGCAGCATCAACAACATGATTTTGAGGGCAAAAACCCAAATAAAAATAAAAAGAGAAGAACGGTCCTTAATTAATTAGGATTTGTTAAGAACTTATCCCAAAAAGAAGTCCCATTGATATTTATTAAAATCAATTAGCCAACTAGGCCAAGGCTGTTCAATGTGAATCAACAATACACTTAATACAATAATCAAACTCTGTATTATTCACCAAAAATGTAGGAAAAAAAAAAGTGCTCAAGAAATTTTGTTTTGATATTAATACAACCAATGCAGCATTATTTTTTAAAATTAAATTATAAACACAATGCATAAAAGTATAGGTGCAGGCATGAAATAGAAACCAAAAATATTACCGAGTGCCTAACCGAGTGCACAGCTCGATTTATCTCCACTCATAGCCTTCGCAATTTCCCTCAGAATAAACTTCTGTACTTTCCCTGTTGACGTCTTGGGAAGCTCTTCCTGAAACACCACCGTCTTCGGCGCCATATAATGCGGCAGCTTATCCCTACAATACTCTATAATCTCCTCCTCAGTTGGTTTCTGAGTCAACTCATTATCAATATTCTTCTTCAAACTCACAAAAGCACACGGCGTCTCACCCCAAAACTTATCAGGCCTAGCCACCACGGCCGCCTCATTAACCGCCGGATGCGAATACAACACTGACTCAATTTCAGGGCTGCTTATATTTTCTCCACCGCTTATAATAATATCCTTTGAACGATCCTTAATTTCCAAATAACCATCAGGGTGAATTACCCCAACATCTCCACTGTACAACCAACCATTTTCTCTCATGCAATTGGATGTCCCTTCAGGGTCTTTGAGGTATCCCAACATGACACACCCACCTCGTAAAACAACCTCGCCAAGTGTTTTACCGTCGCGTTTGACGCTTTCTCCTGTCTCAGGGTCAAAGACGTCAACTTCCGTGAAAACAGCAGATTTAACTCCCTGTCTTGACTTTAGCCTGGCTCTTTCTGTTAACGGTAGCTTGTTCCATTTCTTTTTCCATGCACATGTCACAACGACTCCTCCTGTTTCAGTTAACCCGTAACCGTGGCTCACCACAAAGCCCATTGACTCGGTCCGGCCTAGCACGGGTGCTGGTGGGGGTGCACCGGCTGTTAGAATTTGGACAGGGCGGTTCAGTGGTTCGAGGTGTGAAGAATTTGATAGCAAGTTGAGCACCACAGGCGCACCGCACATGTGGGTCACGCCATGTTGTTCAATCAAGCGATAAATAACCGATGTGTCAATCTTTCGGAGGCAAATGTTGGTCGCACCTACGGCAGCCATTCCCCAAGGGAGACTCCACCCATTAGCATGGAACATGGGTAGGGTCCACAAGTAAACAGGCTGATTGGGAACTGACCAATCAAGCAAAGTAGCCATGGTGATTATGAAAGCTCCCCTGTGGCTTAGGATCACACCTTTGGGAGAAGATGTTGTACCCGATGTGTAGTTTAACACCATTGGCTCCCACTCACTCTTAGGCCTGACCCATTTAAACTTTGGATCACCATCTTCTAAGATCCCCTCGTAATGATCAAGAAAATGGACAGAAGATGATCGGTTTTTGCTGCCTGAGTCCTTTTCATCGTCGATGAGGACAAGTTGCGGGGCTTTGGTTTTGCTCGGAAACAAAGAGATTGCCTCAAGAACAAGAGAACTAGACTGGTGATCAACAAGAACGAGCTTGGATTCGCTGTGCTGTAAGAGTACGGACAAGGTGTTGGCATCAAGGCGAGTGTTGATGTTGTTAAGGACAGCTCCCGACATGGGGACGGCGAATTGGAGCTCGTACATGGAGGGAACGTTGGGGGCGACAACTGAAACTACTTGGCCTCGTTGGATGCCAAGGGAAGTCAGCGATGATGCCACCTGGAGACATCGACGGTGGGTTTGAGACCACGTGTATGAAATGTTGTTGTAGATGATGGAAGGGGAGTCGCCATAGGCAGTGGCAGCTCTCTCCAGGAAGTCTAAAGTTGTCAGAGGGGGTGAGTTTGCAGGGTTTGGCAATAGGAGTTCCATTGATATTAAAAAAAGAAGATGGGTTTGGTGACCTTCTGATTAAAATTGATCTAAGTTGTGAAGATCTTTTATAGACAAAAGAAATTAATTACTAGTATAAATAAATATTGGTTTCACGTTAACGACATTGGAATTTGGAAGGGTAGAATATAGAAGACATCTATTAGCATTGATTATATTTTACAGTGGAATTATAGCCCAACCCCATTCAAGACTCCTGCTTGCCAATGGTAGTAGCCTCTTGCTAAAATATCAATTGTTTAGTTTTAACAAGAAAATATGCTCACTAGATAACTAAAAGGAGAAGCATTCCAAATTGAGCATAGGGCTGACAATACATCAAATACAACTGAACTCACAAAAGCCTAAACACAGACTTGCAGATCACCAGATTGGAAGTTGCCTTGCATCATTCTTGAATAGTATAAATTAAGTTACGAAATTTTAGAGAAGTCAATTCCTATGATCTGGCTGATAATGGTGGAGAGAAAAAAAAACCTTTTAAATTAATTAATTGAATATAAAAGGAAACTTGAACTGCAAATTTGCAACTACTAAAACCTTATCTTTTCCAGAGAAATGGATTAATAATAAGAACACAAATCTAATTAAAATAATACTAATCTTCCTTCTTCATTATTCATTTACGCAGCTTATTGCCAAAGCAAATTGTTGCCAAGCTATCTTAGACCATCAATAATGTGAAGCACGTCCGTGATGCTTGGATCAATACAAGATTTGGGTGGATTGCTACTACCTTTTTTATTTGGATTCACTGCAAATGGATCAATCAGCAAGTTGGCAATACTGTTACTAGTATAATTCATTTATATTATTATACATTGTTTCTTAGATTTTGAGGATTTTGCTTTTAATTAATGCTTCTAATTATTTGCACTGACTAATGATTATGGTGAAAATTGTCATCAAATGTCCTCTATATAAAATTCTAAAAATTCCAAGTATACACCCATAAAAAGGTAATCATAAGCAATGAAATAAAAATAAAACCATAACTATAATTAAAATAATCTTCCTTTTAGGATGTTCCAAAATTATGTCTTTTTTTCATTTCCAAATACATTATTATTTATTTTTAATAATTCTTCTTTTACTTTTTTGCATTCCAAACCATGCGTTTAACATTAATTTTACCACCAAAATTAAAACTTTAACGTAAATTAAATTAAAATCAAAGACTTCTTATTAATTTTCATAAAAGTCACATAAAGACAAATAATGGAAATGAAAAGTGGAATTAATTTAAATTGTTAAATTACTTCATCATTTATCAATTTATTCAATTGTTATAGTAATTAATGGCAACATTCTATCCAATACATATCTCATCATAGTATTCGCATTACAATCTTAATTATCATTCTTATTGTAATCAAGTATAAAAAAAATGCGTTTTGACTGGGTGTTTAGCCAAACTTTTCGACCATTATGCTTTTATATATAATTGCACTTCCATAACACATCTCAATCACAATATTAATATCAATTTAGGCTTAATTCATTTGTAAGTTTTGTTCCAAATCAACAATGGTCTTTAATTATATGTAGTCCTTATATATTTGCATAAAGTAAGTTGTTTTTTTTTTTAATTTTATTACCAAGGTAAAAAGGTAGAAATTTCTTAGTCAAGACTAGGTAGAGGTAGAATCTTATCCAAATTCTTATATGTAGTCCTGACTTTTTTGGAGTGATGTTTTCCAAGCTTCGAGAGCTTGGGATTTCAGTTGGTGTGTCAGTGGTAATGCCATCAAGAATTTGGATCGCACCGGATTTAATGCCTTCGATAACTCTATGATTCACTTTGCTGGTTTCATTAAAAAGTATAGTCTTATGGACATTCCGATGACAGAGGGTAAGTTTACTTGGTGCAACTTTTGGGAAAATGTATCCTTTAGCAAACTTGACCATTTTCTCCTTGCGGCTGAATTCATGGAGCATTTTCCAGAATGTTTGTTGGCGTTATCTTCAACCATAATCCTGTTATTATTTGTCTCGATAGTTGCAATTAAGGATCTAAGCCTTTTTTTTCTTTTTTAATTACTAGTTAGAGGATCGTAGTTTTAATAACATGTTTGCTTTTTCTTGGAAAAAGACTAAGAACTTTAATGGTAGAAAGGCCGCTATTGAGCATCGACTCAAAGGCACCGAATGCCATATCAAGAAATGACAGCGGGACACTTTTTGTAGTCTTGTCTAACTGGATTATCAACGTCTTTTTGAAGAAATTCAGCAAGGGACTTTGAATGAGTAGATTTGGAACTCCTTTAGAAGCTCAAACAAGAATTATGGCAGCTCTTTAGAACTAAAAAGAAAGCTTGGCATCAAAACTCATGCGTCAGGTGGTTTTTAGAAGGTGATCATAACACTTAATACTTTCACAATGCGGCTTCCGGTCAATGCAAAGCCAACTTTATAGGTAAAATTTCTTCTCAAGGCCTTGTAATAGAGGATCCGATTGGAATCAAGGAAACAATTGCATTGCACTTTGAAAATTTATATGGTTCTAGGGCCATCTAATTTAACAATGACCTTCCTAAGTTTGATGGGCAAGCTAAGGCAGAACTTGAAATACCGTTCTCCAAGAATGAGATTTGGGAAGTTATCAATGGCTACGATGGGAACAAGGCTCTAGGGCCGAACAGATTTAACTTTTGCTTCTTTAAGATAGTGGGGGGTTATCAAGGATAAAGTTATGAAATTTGTTACTGATTTTCAATCTAGGAATTCCTTGGACAGAGAGATTAATGCCTCTTTTATTACTTTGGTCCTTTAGTGTGATAAGCCTAGTTCTTTTCATGACTGTTAACCGATCAACTTGGTAGGCTATTTGTATAAAATTATTTCTAAAGCCCTCTCCTTGAGATTGAGGAAAGTTACTGTTGATGTGGTGGGCATTAATCAGTTTGCCTTCATCCATGGTAGGTAACTTTTAGATTGTGCTTTCATAACCAATGAGATGGTGGATCTTATGCAAAAGAATCGGCATGGTGGACTTGTCTTTAAAGTTGACTTTGAAAAGGCTTTGGATAGTGTCTCTTGGGAATTCTTAGAGTATGTTACAAGGCTAATGGGTTTTGGCATCAAATGGTGTTCTTAGGTTATGGCTTGCATCTCGACTACCACCATTTTGTGCCTTAGTTAATGGCACCCTGATAAGGGAAATTCATATGAAAAGAGGCCTTAGACAAGACTGCCTGCTATCTTCCCTCTTTAACTTAGTTTTGGAGGCTTTAAGTGCTTTGATGTATAGGGCTATTAATCATAGCTCACGAGAGGAATTACGATGGTGACTTTGGCATTTACATTGCACACCTCCAGTACACCGATGACATAATAATCTTTTGCAACCTAACTCTTAATTTTCTTTCTTAATATTAAACAGCTATTGAGGTACTTTTAGATGGTTTTAAGTCACGAGATCAATTTCAGAAAAAGCTGCCTCTACGATGTTGGCATTGACCATTCTATTCTGACTCCGTAAGCTGATTTGATTTTTTTTTTTTTGAAAGTTGAAGATATAATTTCATTAGCAAGAGGCTTTACAA